CATGCTCTCTGTCTCTCATTCTCTCTCTCTCTCAAATAAATAAATAAAATCTTTAAAAAAAAAAAAAAAGAATCAGGAAGGAGGACTCCGAGAGGAGGATTCCAGGCGAGGGAAGCAGGATATGAATAGACTGGAAGTCCCCGAAATCATGATGTGTCCCAGGAATTATGAATAGTTCATTATAACTGGGCATATTGACTAAAGAAAGAGAGGTAAGGAATAAGGCTAGAGAAAGATGGAAAAGCCAAATCAGAGAGGGCTTGGTATTCCATACTGAAGAATTTGAACTTTATCCTGAAGGCCCAGGGAGCCTTGGAAAGATTTTTTTTTTTTTAAGATTTTATTTATTTATTTAATTGACAGAGAGAGAGAGAGAGACAGCGTGAGGGGGAACACAAGTAGGGGCAGTGGGATAGGGAGAAGCAGGCTTCCAGCCGAGCAGGGAGCCTGATGCAGGGCTTGATCCCAGGACCCTGGGATCATGACCTGAGCCGAAGGCAGTCGCTTAACCAACTGAGTCACCCAGGCGCCCCAGCCTTGGAAAGATTTTAAATAGATGAGTGAGATGGTCATACTTGCCTTTTAGCATGACCAGCTTGGCTGCAGTGTGAATGGGGAATGGCATGAGTAGGCTTCAGCAGAAATATGAAGGGTGTGAACTAAAGAGAATCTGGTGGCGATAGAAGTGGATGGATTCAAGATGTATCTTGAATCGTATGTATACCTTGGATTCATAGGTTTTGATGTCTGATTGGATGTAGGAGACAAGCGGCAAAGCTGAGACTGGGATGAGTAAGGGTTCTGGTCCAGCGACTCAGTAGGTGGATGGTGATGCCATTTTCTGAACATGAGAAGAGCAAAGCTGAGTGAACTACAAGGAGAGCATGCAGAAGATGAATTTGTTTGGGGGGATGCTGCTTTGGGGTTCCTCTGGTATGTGTAATGGATCTAACAGATAAGGGGATATCCAGGCCAGGGCTAGAGATAAGAGATTTTAGAGGCCTTGGCAATGGGTGATCATTAAACCAAGGGAGCTGATAATCACCCAAGAAAATGGGACCAGAAAATGTCCATTAATCTGAAGAATGACTAATTCTATATTGGTTCTCCTTCATGAACAATGTCTTTTCTCATCTCTTTATTCTTAATTCCAATTAAAGTGCCCATAGTAAGTACCGAAAAGAAATAATTCTCGAGTAAGGGAGCAAGTGAATGAATGAAAGTATGAAGTACTATGTCTCATAAGCAGAAGCAAGCAAGCTTTCCTGTTCAGGAAGAATCCTGGAATTTTACATCACTTCCCAAACTCAGAAATATCATCAAGGCTCCTATTTGTCCTGTGATCCCTGATTCCTAAACTGAGATTACTCATTCATTCAACATAATGGTATTGAGCACCTACTGTGTTCCAGGCACTGTGTGTGTAGATACTGGGGAAATAGCACTGAATAAATCAGATATGGTCCCAGCCCCTGCGTAACTTATGGTCTAGTGGGTAAGAAAGACATTAAATGAACAGTCATAAGTCTTAACTGACTTCACTGAAGGTCACTATTTTACTCAGCAGTTTTGATTAATACCCAGATCCCATTCCTCTACAAATGTCTTACTTTCATAGGGCTCCTTATTCGCAAATATTGCCCAAAGTACTATGCCAAAGCTGTACACATCTGACTTCTCCGAGGGCTTTGCGTTGATGTCATTCAGATGCTCAGGGGCCATGTAGCAAAGGGTTCCGCCATTTTTCTTAGAGACACTATTCAATTTCCTCTGCTCATTATGTTCCTCTTTAGTCAGTTTACTCCACATCTTAAAGGAAGCAACGCCAAGATCAGCTATCTGCAAGAGATCAAAACCAAAAGGATTGTTCTGTGAGAGCCACAGGTAAATCAGACTTGTTTTTAAATTTGGGGCTTAACTAATAGATGGGAGGTATAGTGGATTTCCAGAAATTTCCACTAGATAGATTTAAAACAGCTACTTCTGAACAAATTCATACAAACTTTGTGTTTCCTCAGCTAGCTGGAAAATGTCCTCTAAGAAATGTCCATGTGAAATTCTGGTATCTCAAATTCTTATGCAATAAAACCATGGAATTTGCTAGTGGGGTTAGGGGAGGGGAAGCGAACAGAAAAAGCAGAAGTCATTTCTAACATGAACTACAGTAAAACATGTTTATTCTAATTCCTCATTTACTCTACATATATTTTTCAACTATTTCTGGGGCTAGGAAGAAAAGATATTTTCTTCTCAGCAGATTTGTATAGCTGATGGTGACGAGATACTGCACCTTCAATTTTCCCAAATGGTGTCCTGAAGCCTGTGGACGCGAGATTCTAAGGACTCCAAAGTCCTGAGGTTAAGGACTGCAATGCTAGTTGTTTTGAGTTGGTAGCCTGAACCTAAGAGAAGATGGGATAGGAAGGAGGAGGAAAACAGAGAAGAAAGCAAAAAGAAAAATACAAAGATCAGACACAGAACAGAGAGAGGTGGCAAGAACAAAAGTACAGAACAATAGAACAATACAGTTAAGAAGAAATCAAAGATGACAGTTTCACTTTTGCCTCTAGGAATCCAAGCATATGGGTATGGGTTTTGGCATGTGATGATCCAAAGTCCCCAGATTTTAACATAAGAGATACATAAGAAATGTTATTAATGTAAAGAAGGAACCTTCTTTCAAAGTCATAGGAATAAAAATCTGTCCAAGACTAGAAGGAAGTGTTAGAAGCAGAATCTTGTAGTAAAAGGATGCCTGCGTAAGCAGTTCCTGAGTTCTCCCCCAAATGCTGCTTCCCCTTTCAGATTCTCGTGCTTGGATTCCTGTTGCCAAAACCAATTAGATGTGACGTTCCACCTTGTTAAATCTGCTCTTGAGTGAACAAAAGGAAAATCTCTTCCCCTTGTTCCCTTTACTACAATGGAGTAAGTTACAGTTAAAAAAAAAAAAAAACTGATAAAAAATGTAGATGAGAATAAATAAATAAGCAAATAATATGAATTCCATCAAGTCTGCATCTTTCTTGTCAATCCTTGGCAGAATCTTCCAGCACCACTGTCTTCAGTTCTAAGCTGAGTGAGATCTTCCTTTAGGGGTCTTCCATGTACAAAATGGATTTATAGCGAAGAATTAAAACTAAAATCACCCCAATCTTCTAGAAACCTTCAGATCATGACTTACCTTAATGTGAAAGTCATCATCAACGAGAATATTTTCAGGCTTTAGGTCCTTGTGTATTACGCCTTGTCCATGTAAGTAGCACATCCCTTCAATGGTCTCCATAATTATCCTTCCTTTTACAGAAAGGGGGATTCTGACCTAAAACAAGTGACATTAAGTCTATGAAATGGAAAGGTAAGTCAAATAGGCCAAAGCCACTGTTTTATTCAAGAGTAGTGGGGTCTGAACCTGAGGATATACAGATCTTCCTTGACATACAATGGAGTTATGGCCTAATAAACACATCATAAGTTCAAAATATCATAATTCAAAAATGTTTAATACATCTAACCTACTAGACATCATAGCTTAGCCTAGCCTATCTTAAATCTGCTTAGAACACTTACATTAGCCTTAGTTGGGCAAAATCATCTAACACAGAGCCTACTGTATAATAAAATGGTGACTATCTCATGTAATTGACTGATACTAAACAGCAAGTGAGAAACAGAATGGCTGTGTGAGTAACAGTTGTCTACCGTGTGATCACATGGCTCACAGCCACTGCCCAGCATCATGAGAGAGGATCATAAGGCATGCTGCTAGCCCAGGAAGAAATCCAAATTCAAAATTCAAAATACGGTTTCCACTGAATGCCCATTGCTTTTGACCATCATAAACTGAAAAAATCATAAGTGGAACCATAAGCTGGGGACCATCTGTAGTTACCAGGATTCCTTCTATCATGCTCTGCAGCACTGCCATCATTTTAAAAGAAGCCCCCCCCTTTTTTTTTTTTTTATTTGAGAGAGAGAGAATGAGACAGAGAGCACATGAGAGGGGGGAGGGTCAGAGGGAGAAGCAGACTCCCTTCCGAGCAGGGAGGCCGATGCGGGACTCAATCCAGGGACTCCAGGATCATGACCTGAGCCGAAGGCAGTCGCTTAACCAACTGAGCCACCCAGGCGCCCAAAAGAAGCCCCCTTTTAAAGAAAGATTTCATCCCACATGCTAAGGGTATTAATGTTGTATTCTGCCATGTAAAAATAAAACATTCATGCCAATATGGTAATATATTAAAATGCTATAAAATTAAGCCCCTTGAGAGCAGAACATGATGATGATGATGATTATAATATGCATCCTTACTACCTAGCACAGTGCCTAGAATTGCTGTTGAATGAAGGGATAAATAAATAAACAAAAAACAGGTATTTTCTACAGTGCATTAATATATGCTACTATATACTAAATGGGTGAACAATGTCACAGAAGTGTGTATATGAAATAATACTGAGAAAAAAGAATACAAGAGATTCTCAGCGTGCTCACACTGATTGCAAACATGTAAAGATTAACCTATGAGATATCATGATGTTAAAACAATGTGGAAGTGAATTTAATAGCTCTTTGGTAATTTGGTATCAGATACTTCAGCAGGTTTTTGTAAATTCACAAGTCATTCTTACTTAACAACTGTATTCTAGTTACATAAATATCAACGTTAATATAGAGAATTCCAAAACATTAGTTTTGCTTAACACTGAAAAATGCAAATTGTGTGTGTGTGTGTGTGTGTGTGTTTGTGCAGTCTCTAGTTTACAAACAGGCTGTTTCCTAAAAATTTATGTATATGTTGGTTGTTGGTAAACAGGACAAAAATTTAAATGATGGAAGTTAGAATCCCAAGTCAACCCCCCCAAACCATATTTAAAACCCATAATGTAGCTGAATTGGTAGTCTGATCACCACCATCCAAAAAAGAGCCAGAGATTTTCCGTTCTTCCTTGGTATACCTTGGATGTAGGAAAAAATTCTGAGAAGGAAATCCCCTTCTCATTCCCCTTTCTGCTTTTCTCCTTCACATCCTCCTGAATTCCTCTGGAGCCCAGACTAGTCCACCTTATCCTCGCCTGATCCAGCAGAACGTCTCTTGTTGCACAGGATTTATTTCCCAATCAAAATGCCTACTTACTTCATGCAGCAGCTGGTCTAACCTAGTTTTGGTGAGAAGAGCAGTCTCATTCAATTATAACACAACGTGTATAAGTGAACATCTCTTACCCTTCCCACATGTGTCTGTGAGAGATGTCTGGGGCCTAGAAGAACTGAAGAATGGACATAACCTCAGGCAGTTGTAGGGTGAGGGAGATGGGAAAAGGGGGGATATCTGCCCTACAGACTGCCACATCCCACCACTCCCAGATGCAATCTATGCTTTGGCCAAATCCAGTTATTTGCAGTGTCCCAAATTTGGCATATTCTCTTTCCTTTGCTATTCTCTCACCCAGAACACATATCCCCTAATTCTCTGCTTGTCCTTCAGGCTTTGGCTCAAGCATCCCCCTTCTGGAATCCCTTCTCATCTCTTCCACACTGCAGTGAGGGCCTCTCCCCTGTGTTCCCACAGCACGCTCGCTGGGAGATGTCTACTAAAACACCGAGAGGCCACACCGTTCCCTCCTGATCTGTCCGTGGTACGTGTCTGTGTCCTATTTGCCATTGCCTCCTGAGCAACTAGCAGGAGGCCTTGCTCTTAATAGGTAGATAAACTCTAAAAAATGCTTTATTACAGTGATGTGGTTTTCATAAACAATTTTTCTTTTCTTATTTTAAGTCTTATCCAGTGTTGTTGCCTCTAATGCTCTCTATTTAGCCTCTAAGTTTTCTCAAGTGGTATCAAAGAGCAATCATTAATATTCCATTTCCACTTACAGTCACGTCTAGTGTACATCCTTCAGTCAGTCAGTCAGCTCACACCCAGGAGGCATGTGCCTCACGTCAGGCGGCGGCCTTCAGGAAGACAATGCCTATCCCCGAACTGTGGATGCTGGGGGTGCTGACCAGAGCCAGCTACAACACCAAGACAGGGGGGACCTCCCCCGGTGAGGGGTACAGACAGCTGTCTACAAGGACTGACAGGAAGGCAAGACCACCTTCTGGGCAGGGAAAGTCCAGGACATTTTCACCAGGGATTGACTTCAGAAAATCCACACTATGTAGCAACTCACAAGGGGGTTATTTGACACCAACAAGCTACAAAAGAACAAACACCATGGCGAGCACCATCACGGATGAGCGGTGCCTGGGTCACGGTGCGGGTCCAGCGCACAGCGAAGCCCTCTTTACCTCCGCCTTCAGAACGTGCATCAGGTTGCCCTTTTCCATGTACTCCATCACCAGGGAGTAGCTCCCTTCTTCCAGGATGACGCCCAGGAGCTTCACCACCCGATTATGTCTCAGCCTGTGCATCATCTTGCCCTCCTCAAGGAGGGAGTCGTTGTACCTGCGGGACAGAAAGGTGCTGTTAACATGGGCAGAGTTTGCGCCCTTGTCCCTTGTGCCCCCAAGAAACACAGTACGCGCCTCCCACGCATCACATGCTGGTGTTGGAGCTTGTGCATGTACTGATCTCCTCCAGGCCCAGACAACGGGCGTCCGCAGGCACAGGACTTTCTCGTTCCTTCCCAGTGATGGGCAGCAAGCGCTCAAGAAATCTCAGAGCGACGAACGAATGAATGCAAAGTATGTGAAGAGCCGCAAGGAGAGGCAGCCGGACAGAGGGCTGTGTTAGATGGCGTAACAGAAAATTCACCTCTCTTGGTAACCACTCTGGCAAGAAGAGAGGGAAGTAAAACAAGTCCACCAACTGCTTTAAAGAGAGGGCTTCTGGAACCTCTAATAAATGGCCTACATTTTGTTTTTCTATAGGTAGGGCTGGTCCCCACCAAAACCGTGCAGCAAGTAGGCAAGTCTATCTCACTGACCCCTCCCATTGTCTTCTCATAGCCTCCCTCATCACTCTTCATCTCCTTCCCCTTCCCTAATTCCTTCCCTTCGCTTCTCTTCCATTGTCTATTAGCTGTGGACTTTTTGCCAACCAGCCTCCGAATCCTCATTTAGTGGTACAGGGATAGTAATAACCAGCTCGAAGGGTTATGGGACAGCAAGTGTGCCCGCTGACACCCCGCGGTCTGTCTCCTAATGCCTGGGCCATGCTTATCCACTGCCCTGCCTTGGCCCTCCACAGTAATTCTTCCCATGGCCAGCCCATAATTTGGCCCACCCACCTCTGCTCCCAACTCACTCAGTGCGCGTGGGCCCTGTGTACACCTTTTTCAGTATTACAAGTCCATGGGATCTGTGTAAACACAAAGACACCTTTCCGAAGCCCCCACTGTCCAGATGCTCCTTCTCCAAAAAGTCACTAGATTTCATCTTAATGTCATCCAAGGACATGGCTGGTTTCCTTGTGAACCCTCAGAATGTCCGGAAATGCACCACTTTTTCCCCCTGAGCTGTGCCCTGTAAAACAAAACAAAACCAAAGAATTTCAGGTAATTAGACTATTGAATACTCTCAGAAAATAACAGGTTTTAAATAATTATGAACAAAAATAATGAATTTGAAGAATATAAAAACAACGCATTATCTAAAAAAAATAGAAAGGTGTAAAGGATGAGGATTTGAAGAATTTGTATATAAGTGCTATGAAGTCTACAGTGTATACAATCTCAAAACAGAACTGTTTGCTTCTCCTTCTTCCCTTCTTCCATTCATTTTCCCCAAACTGAACTGAAGAGTAAAAACCCATGGGGTTTTTATTGAGATACCATTACACAACTACCAGAATATCCAGAATTTAAAAGGCTGATACCACCAAATACTGGGGAAGATAAGAAACAACTGGAATTCTCATACATTGTGAACGGGAATATAAAGTGGTACAACCACTTTGAGAAAAGGTCTGGAGGTCTCTTATAAAGCTAAACATACACCTAAACTATGGCCAAGCAATTCTAATCACAAAAGAAATGAAAATATATGTTCCCAAAGACTTCTATGATGTTCACTGCAGCTTTATTCATGATAGCCCCAAACTGGAAACAGTGATGCATCAATAGGAGAATGGATTAAAAAAAAAAGATTGTATATTCATACAATGGATTACTACTCAGCAATGAACTACCAATATGCACAACAATGTGGATGAGTCACAAAAGATGCTAAATAAAAGGAGCCTAGTACAAAAGAATACATACTGTATAACTCCATCTATGTTAAGTTCTCCAACAAGAAGATGGAAATGTTGGAAAAGGAGCACCTTTCCAGGGACAGGTTGCCCAGGGACAGGGTGAGGACTGCATGGTTTGGAGCATGAGGAAACTTTCTGGTGTGATGGTAATGCTCTATCATCCTGGTGAGGGTTAGGGTTACACAGATATAAGCATTTGTCAATACTTAGCAAATCTTCCATCAAAAGAAAAATTTGTAAACATACTGAACTCTAGTTAGTGGTGTGCATGCTGAAAATATTTAGGAGGAAGCGTACTGATATCTGCAATTTACTTTGCAGACAGACTGGTGGATAAAGAGTGTGTTAAACAGATACTCTGTGATAAAGCAGGCCAAATAAAATAATATTGATGGTGGACATGTAAAAGTTCACTGTAAAATTTTTAAAAATTTGTTTCTACATTTCTATTTTTATTTATTAATTTTTCCCATATATTCCTCACCCAGTTTCTAATAGTACATATGACAAAACTAAGAAGCCAACACTGTACATTACTATTAACCAGACAACCTACTGATTCTGATATTACTCATTTTTTTTACAAATTCCCTTTTTCTATTCTAGGATCCAACCCAGAGTACTACATTGCCTTTTATAGCTTGTGATTTTTAAATTTTTTAAAACTTTTTGACCCCCTTCACCCATTTCTCCCAGCCCCTGCCTCTGGCAACCCCCAATCTGTTTTATGGATCTATGAGCTTTTTGAGTTTTTGGTTTTTTTTTTAAAATTCCACATATAAGTGAGATCATACAGTATTTGTCCTTCTGATATTTCACTTAGCATAATGCCCTCAAGGTCCATCCATATTGTCACAGATGTCAAGATTTCCTTCTTTTTTATGGCCGAATAATATACATATAAATCACATCTTCTTTATCCATTCATCTACTGATGGACTTTTAAGCTATCTCCATATCTTGGCTATTGTAATTGATGCTGCTATGAACATAGGAGTGCATATGTTTTTTTGAGTTAGTGTTTTTGTTTTGAGTAAATACTCAGAATTTTTTAGGAAGCTTCATACTGTTTCCATAGTGGCTAAAACAATTCACATTCTCACCAGCAGTGTACAAAGGTTCCCTTTTCTCCACATCCTTGCCAACACTTGTTATCTTGACTGTATGATAACAGCAGTTCTAAGAGGTGTGATGTTATACCTCATTGTGGTTTTGATTCATATTTCCCTGATGATGAGTGATGCTGAGCATCTCTTTATGTGTCTGTTGGCCATCTGGATGTCTTCTTTGGAAAAATGTCTATTCAGATCTTCTGCTCATTTTTTTTTTTTTTTTTTTGCTATGAAGTTGTATGAGTTCTTTATATATTTTGGATATTAAGCTCTTAACAGACATATGATTTGCAAATATTTTCTCCCATTCAGTAGGTTGCCTTTTCATTTTGTTGATGGTGTCCTTTGCTGTGAAGAAGCTTTTTTGTTTGATGTAGTCCCACTTGTTTATTTTACCTTTTGTTTCTTTTATTTTTGGTGTCAGATTCAAAATATCATTGCCAAGACCTATACCAAAGAGCTTACTGCCCATGGTTTCTTCTAGAAGCTTTATGGTTATTAAAAGAGTGGGCATGTTACATTCAAGTCTTTAATCCATTCTGAGTTAATTTTTTTGTATGGTTTAAGATAGTGGTCCAGCTTCATTCTTTTGTATGTGGCTGGCCAATTTTCCCAACATGATTTCCTGAAGAGATTGTCTTTTTCCCATTATATATTCTTGGCTTATTTATTGTAAATTAATTGACCACACATGTGAGTTTATTTCTGGGCTCTCTATTCTGTTCCACTGATCTATGTGTCTATTTTTATGCCAATACCACACTATATTAATTACTGTAGCATTGTAATAAAGTCTGAAATCAGGGAGTGTGATGCCTCCAGCTTTGTTCTTCTTTCTCAAGATTGCTTTGCTGATTCAGGGTCTTTTGTGGTTTCATATGTATTTTAGGACTGTCCTATTTCTGTGAAAAATGCCATTGGAATGTTACTAGAGATTGCTTTAAATCTGTATATTGCAGGGTGCCTGGGTGGCTCGGTCAGTTAAGTGTCTGCCTTTGAGTCAGGTCATGATCTCCAGGTCCTGGGATTGAGCCCCACGTCGGACTCCCGGCTCAGCGGGGAGTCTGCTTGTCCCTCTCCCTCTACTTCTCCACCTGCTTGTGCTCTGTCTCTCTCCCTCTCAAATGAATAAATAAAATCTTTAAAAAAAATAAGAAATCTGTATATTGCTTGGGGTAGTACGGACATTTCAACAATATTAATTCTTCCAACTCACAAGCATGGAATATCTCTCCACTTATTTGTGTCTTCTTCAATTTCTTTCTTTAATATCCTGGAGTTTTCAGTACACAGATCTTTCACCTCCTCAGTTAAATTTATTCCTAGGCACTTTTTTTTTTCTTTTGATGCAATTGTAAACAGAACTATTTTCTTAATTTCTCTTTGGTAGCTCATTGTATAGAAACACAGTGGATTTTTGTATTTTGATTTTGTATACTATAACATCACTGAAATCATGTATTCGAATAGTTTTTTGATGGCATCTTCATGGTTTCCTATATATTTTATCATGTTTTCTGCAAATAGTGACAGTTTTGCTTTTTTCTTTCCAATTTGGATGTTTTTATTTCTTTTTCTTGCCCAATTGTTGTGGCTCTGACTTCCAATATTATGGGTTTTTTTAAGATTTTATTTATTTGACAGAGAGAGAGAGTACAAATAGGGGAAGCAGCAGGGAGAGGGAGAGGGAGAAGCAGGAGCCTGATGCGGGACTTGACCCCAGGACTCTGGGATCATGACCTGAATGGAAGGCAGACACTTGACCGACTGAGCGACCCAGGCACCCCAACTTCCAATATTATGTTGAATAAAAGTGGCAAGAGTGGGCATCCTTGGGGCGCCTGGGTGGCTCAGTCGATTGAGCCCCACATCGGTCTTCCTGCTCCATGGGAAACCTGCTTCTCCCTCTCCCACTCCCCCTGCTTGTGTCCCTGCTCTCGCTGTGTCTCTCTCTGTCAAATAAATAAATAAAAATCTTAAAAAAAAAAACAGAGTGGGCATCCTTGTCCTGTTCCTGATCTTAGAGAAAGAGCTTTTGGCTTTTCACTACTGAGTATGATGTTAGCTGTGGGTATAAAATCTTTTGAGTTTTTCACTTTGAAATTTTTCATGATAAAATATTGTGAGGCAGGAAGTTTAAAAAGAAAAGCACCTGAGGGATTTCTGAAAATGCCTGGCCTGATGGTGGTCTTGCGTAGTGGCCTGTGGCACTCTGGCTCAGGTTACCACCTGCACCTTGTACAAAGGCTCTGGGTAGACCATGTCACTCCAACAAAATTCACATATCAGCACAGTAGACAACGCTATGGACCATCTTTCTGTAACATGAGACATTGCCAAACAAGAGGAATCACCCTCTGGAAAGAAGCACATCTATGTATGGGGTAGACAGGGAGTGGGGGAGGCTACCCAGAGAAAGGGCATGAAGATGAGAAGCAGAGGGTGGTGATGGTCTGAGGCAGGCACTGAAGGAGAGGTAGCAGAGCCACGTTACTGTGGAAAGAGCACAGGCCTTTCTTTTTTGAGTATGAACTCTAGTTCTGTAATTTATTAGCCCCATGACTTGTGTAACTTCATAAGCCTCAATTTCCTCATTTCCAAAAGGAAAACAGATTTGTTGCTTGCTTAAGGGTTCTGGCTATGGTTGGACCAGCTGCCCACATTTATCCACATTTCTCCCATTTTAATGGGCTTTGAGAATGCCAGTGTGCTGCTGGGATCCTCTGCTCAGCAGTTCTCTACTGATCCATCCTTGTGTGAATGGTAGGGTGGGGGGAGATAGAGTAATTTGTTCCACTCTCCCCTACAACCCTCTGAGGGCACATTCTTCTCTGGGCTCATCCTGCTCATCCTTCAGGTCTCAATGAAATGTCATTTCCTCAAGGAAGCCATCCTAAGTCTTCCCATTAGACATTTTCATAGCACCCTTTACTTCTCCCTTGAAACAGTTAAGATAGTTGTAATTTGAGAATTATTTCTAATTAATTATACAGGATGCAGGAAACTATCTTGTACACTGTCTGTAGTGCCTAGGACAAAACCAGACATATGGCAGGTTTTGTCCTAAGCACTGATCAGGAACAGGACAAGGATGCCCATTCTTGCCACTTGTATTCAACATAATGTTGGAAGTGCTAGCCACAGCAATAAGGCAAGAAAAAGAAATAAAAAGTATCCAAATTGGAAAGAAAAAAGCAAAGCTGTCACTATTTGCAGAAGACATTATATATAGGAAACAATGAAGATTCCATATGTCCTAGTTGATCATTAAATGGATAATTATCCATTAAAAAGAAATATTTAATTGTCCAAAAATAAAGGATACAGTTAAATGAATTACAGGACATTCATAAGATGGAATATCATATAACAATTCAAAGTTATAGGTAAAAATAAAAAACATATTTACAGGGAGATGGCTAGATATACATACAGAAAAAAAAATGAAGATACCAAAATGTTAGCAAGGATTATTTGGATAGTAGGGTGATTTTTACTTTCTTCTGTACAGTTTTACATTTTCCAAATTTCCTACAATAAGCATAAATTACATTTATAATAAAACATTTCTTAAAGGCAATAATTACTTCACTCAGTATTTCTTTAATCAAATCAGAGATGCTGAGATAGATTATTGACAATGATGGTCCTGGCAACATTATACAGAACGGCAAAAGCATATAAAACAATTTACATACACAGAAGAGAGAATAAGTTATAGCCCATCTATACTCTGAAATACATCTAGCAGTTTTCGAAAATACTGTTGTATATGACCTTTTAAAAAAAGGCTCACAGACAGAGTAAAGAAACAGGAAGGAATTATTAACTGTGAAATATGCCATTTGAGTATAAGATTTCAACTTTTCTGAGGAGTTCTACTTGCTCTCTCTCCTTCAGCCAAGATCTTGTCTCCTGGAATCTGCCAGGACCAGCTAGGATTTGGAGGGCCTCCTGCCGGCATAATGGACCTCAGGGGGAAGGAGGCCTCCTGGTGATTCCACTGCACTTTGTGACGTTGGCTCCTGATCAAATCAGTTCTCTTCTCAGTCTTGGAGTTTGCTGGTTTAGTCTGACCTTAATCTTATGCACTTCTTGCATGGTTCCCAGTGACTTCTTTTGCTTTTACTGCTTTTGTTCCTTTTTTTTCCCATGAACAATTCAACTTTATAAATACCAAATATCTTAGGAAGGTCTTGTGAGTGGTTTAGATACCCAACAGTCACAAAAATACTGAATGTAGGCAGGCAGAAAACCACATTATAAAGCCATGTTACAGAGTAATTAACGAAAGCACACTGCCCTCTTACATCATCTTAGATAACTAATTTCAACTAATAATGTAATTGTGTCCATTTTAATGGGATTTCTTAATGTTTTTTTCATAAATGGATGTTAATTCAGGGACTCAGGAAAGCAAATTTTGTCCACTGAAATTAACTGACAATTTTAAGAAATTTCACAAATTTCTAAAATTTATTCTAAGGCAGGATGAATCTATATATCAAAATACTCACATCTATATTCAATTTTGTTTGTCAATTATACCTCAATAAAACTGGGGGAAATAAAAATAAATAATAAATAATAATACCAAGAACAAAGGCAGAATTAATTTCTGATATTAACAGATAGTGGTTACTATAAGATAGAAGACAAGAGATAGTGAATGAGAGGAGAGAGACACAAGAGCTTTCAGGAATGATGGCAATGTTCTATTTCTTAACCTGGGTAATGTTCATTTTGTGATACTTCATAGAGCTGTACAATTATGAAATGTGCATTTCACATTGATTATGTTACACTTTAATAAAAAAAGTTTTAAAAAGACTTTAAAATATTCATACTTACCTTTCAGTGCTAGAAGACTATTTTTTTCAACTTTTCAATGATGATCATACATCAAGAATCAGAAAATGTCAGTTGCCTACCTATCATTGCCTTCCTTTCCCCTGCTAATAGAACTCTGATTTTACTCAAGTATCCAGTGTGGACTTCTCAAAGGTTCTTTGATTGTAACGGCTTAATACTTTGCCCCAGATAAACAAGAGCTCTGAGTAAGGAAGAACCAAATGAAGAGCAAAGGACAGGACTGGAGGAGTTCAACCAGGTATTATCATATACATTAGCACATTATGACCCCATGAAGTAAGTTTTATTCTTATCATTCCAATTTAGAAATAAAGAAACTAAAATCTGGAGTTCAATGATTCATCTAAAGCGGTAGATTCTGGCACTGAACTTTTGTTTCTTCATTCAAGCTTCCACTATCAATTCACTAACACATGCAACTTCTCTAGATAGCAAACTATGATCTTTGTTAAAATCCTATTCAAAGACTCAATCTTATAGCTTTGCTCACCTATATTAAATGAATATGCTACAGTCAGAAACATGGGGAATGCACAGACTAAATTTTTAAAACATAATATGTGGTTCAAAATCAGTATTTTACAGGTTAATGCAGTCAATCATTTTTGCCAGAGTATAACATCCAACCAAAGCATGGGAACCTATATATATTTTTTCAAATTCCAGATCATATTGGTGGTATTAACATATTATGGATTAATAAGCACCAAATAGTAGTTAGCCATTTTGGAAGTTGATATTTTAGGAATTTTTCTTAATTCTCATTAATATTCACATTCTTAAAAGTGCAACATATTGGGAAGCCTGGGTGACTAAGTTGGATGGGGGCCTGACTCTTGACTTTGGCTCAGGGTTATGAGAATGAGCCCCACATGGGGCTCCAGTAGGTGTGGAGCCTGCTTAAGATTCTCTCTCTCTCCCTCTGCTCCTACCCCCCCCCCCAAAAAGTGCAACATATCTCTGCGGCTCAATATAGTGAAGAAGAAAATGAAAATTAAAGTTAATCATTATTACTGTTTTATTAACAATAATTGTAACGATACACCCTAAATTTTATTTATTTTTTTAAAGATTTTATTCATCTATTTGAGAGAGCGCAAATGAGCAGGGGGGAGGGGCAGAGGGAGAAGGAGACGCAGACTCCCGGCTGAGCAAGGACCCTATGCAGGACCGGGCCTCAGGACTCTGGGATCATGACCAGAGCCAAAGGCAGACACTCAACTGACTGAGCCACTCAGGCGCCCGATACACCCTAAATTTTAATCAAAGTCTTCACTTTTTGTGTTTAGAAGAGTTGCAGTTTTCCACATTGTTGATTGACTACAATTTCCTCCTTCCTCTGGCACCTACCCGGTGTTTACAAAATGCAGATCAACTACTAAGTCACTCTATGTTCCAAAGGTTACTTGTGCCTTGATTTCCTCGGGTGTAAATCAAGGGAAGAATTAATAGTGGTCTAAAGACCGTAGGACTTCTGAAAAGTTGGTTGAATATAACAGCCTCGGGCTTTGTCCAAGATAAACAAGAGCTCAGGGCAAGGAAGAGCCGAAGGATCAGCAAGAGACAAAGAAATAACCGCCGCCCCCCTCCATCGGTGGTGTTTTGCCAAATGCTTAGGAAAGGAGTATGTAGCTTAACCTCTTCAAACCCTGACAAGATTCTGCAACACTTCGTAAAAACAAATGCCACTGACTACGTAAGAGGTCTCCTAGGGTTCTGACATTCATCCCTTCTGTCGCTGTGCAAGTGGACCCTTCTTTTCCATTTGCCAGCTCACAGCTAAGATTATGCGGAAATGCTTTGCAAAATGCTTGATCTCTGCAACCCGCGCGCGCGCGCGGCCCCAAGGGCAAGAGTAAAAGCCCTTTCAAAGGCTTGGTAAGCACTCCTAGCCCAGGACCAGTACGTAATCCTATTACGACGAGAGCATGCGCCACCGTATCTTAATGATTGCAATAAAAATCCATCATCGCTACGAAACAACAACGATAGCAGCAACCCACCGCCACACCGTCCTCCTGGCCCGAGGGCAGGTCTACGCCCTTGGACGGAGTTAACACCTGGTGAGCAACAGCTGGGAAGAAAGGAGCGCAGCTGGACTTTTGACAGTTCTACAGCCGACTCAGGGAAATTCCATAGGCCCAGCAGGCCGCCCTACTTCCGGGAATACCAACGGCTTTCCCATAGCTCAACTTCCCCCACCGCCGCGAGCCCCGCCCACCAGCCGAAAGGCCCAGTCTCTGTTAGACTTCCGGTGGATGCCGTCCCCGCCCACCGCCCGCCCGCCTAATCAGGAAACCCCACCCCTGCCTGGAAGCCGGTCCCTGGCGAACCTGGATGTGGCGGCCACTGCCTCCGCGCAGACGCACGCAGAGTTATTTACTTTCGTTTCCGCGGTAAACTTCCCGAGGCCTGGGTAAGGAAGGAAAGAGGCAGCGGTGGGAGAGTCCGGAATTACTCCGACGCCGCGCAGCCTCGCCGGGACAGGCAGGGGGCGGACGCCCGAGCCTGACACGAGGGTCGCCGGGGACAGAGCTCCTCGGGCTCGGAGAGGCCGAGCCGCAGAGTGGCCGCCCCGCTGCGCGCTCACCGCGCTCCGTTCTGTGGGCCCCGCTGGTCAGTGCGCGTCCGGCCGCGCGGCCCGGGCTACCTCCTTGCAGCGGGACAGCGGGCTGGCGCACCTCGAGATGTGGGCCCGCCAGGACCGCCGCGCTTCGGGAGCCCCAGTCCGGTGTCCGCGCCCTCTGGGTGTGGAGTGAGGGCTCTGGGGCCGGCGAGAGGGCGTGGACTGTTCGCTCCGCCTTCGCGGGCTCCGGAACCGGGTAGGAGGAGAGCGCCTGCCCCGCGGCCAACCGGGCCTTGCACCCAGACTTTAAATTCCGGGGATGTCACCCAGAGGATCATGGCTTTACTTTGTTTTAAAGTCAGCTGGGAGGCCAAAAGAAGATATATTACCTAGTCGTAGAAACCGCCGCCGCTGCGGAGAAGCAGCTTAGCCTAGGGTAAGCACTGGGTAGATTCCACCACTCCCCCCTACTCCCACTCTGAGCTCCGCGCGTCATCAGCCCTACAGCTTTAGGCAAATTACCATTCTCGTCTCTCCCTTCAGCTGTGAAGTGGGCATAATAAAATCCGCTCTGTGGAGTTGTGGAGAAAAAAGATATTTATCTTGCAGTCCTTTAGAATGGTGATTGGGAAGTCTCAAGCAAAATGGGAAATGCCACATTATACATAGCATGATTACATATTGTAGAAAGATATACAGTTGACCGCTGAACACCAGGGGTTTGAACTGCAGGGGACCATTTATAGGTGGGTATTTTCGGTAAATACAATAGAGTACTGTAAATGTATTTTCCTCATGATATTTTGAACATGAGACTAGTTTATTGTTAGAATACAGTATATAATATATATTACGTATAAAATATGTGTTAAATTGACTGTTAGTGTAAGACTTCCAGTCAACAGTAGGCTATTAATGAAGTTTTTTGGGGAGTCAGAAGTTATATGTCAATTTTCAAGTGTGTGGGGTGGGTACCTCTAACCCCTGTTGTCCAGGGTCAAATGTATACTTCAAGAGAATAAGAAGCCACAAGCTGGAAGAAAATATTTGCAAAAGACATCTGATAAAGGACTGTTATCCAAAATACACTAAAAATTCAACAATTAAAAAAGGAGCAACCCAATTAGAAAATGGGCAAAAGATCTGAACAGACACCTCACCATGTAGATGACAAACACATGAAAAGGTGCTCAGTATTATAGGTCATTAGGGAATTGCAAATTTGAAACAACAATGAGATACCACTACATACCTATTAGAATGGCTAAAATCTAAAACTCTGATGATACATGTTGGTGAGGATGTGGTGCAACAGGAATTCTCATTATTGTTGGTGTGAGTGCAGATTGGTACATCCACTTTGGAGAGAGTTGGGCATTAAAAGCTGAAAATAATCTTACCATATCATATGATATCATATCATATCATATGATCCAGAAACCACATGCCTTGGTATTTACCCAAGTAAGTTGAAAGCTTATATCTACACGAAAATCTGACATGAATGTTTAGAGCACATTTATTCCTAATTGCCAAAACTTGCAGGCAACCAAGGTGTTCTTCAGTAGGTGAATATGCAAAAAAACTTGTCCATCCATACAGAGCGTGGAATTTTTAGTGGAATATTATTCACTAAAAAAAAAAAAATGAGCCATCAGGCCATGAAAAGGCATGGAGGAAGCCTAAATGATTATTTCTAAGTGAAAGCTAATCAGAAAAAGCTATGTAATATATGATTCCAGCTATATGACATTCTGGAGAAGGCAAAAATATGAAGGCAGTAAAAAAAAAAAGATCAGGGGTTGTCAGGTTTGCAGGGAGATGGAGCACAGGATTTTTAGGGAAGCAAAACTATTCTGTATAATGCTACAGTGGTGAATACATTATACATTGTCAAAACCCACAAATGTACAACCAAAAGAGTGAAATCAGATGTGAACTATGGACTTCGCATGATAATGTGTCAGTGTTCGTTAATTGATTATTAACAAATGTGCCACACTGGTGCAGGATGTTGATGGCCGGATAGTCTGTGTGTTTGCGGGTAGGGGAGGGAGGTAGAGCTCTTTCCACTCAATTTTGCTTTGAAACTAAATCTGTTAAAAAAAAATTGTTTATTTTAAAAATACCTATAAAAAAAGATGACGGGTACCTATTCATTCAACAAACATTTCTGACTAATGTATGCTAAGCAGGTACTAGATAATAAGAATATCTGATGGTAGATACAAGTAATACAGAAAGGCATTCATTCATTCAATAAATATTTGCAGAGCACCTTTTCCAAACACTAAAGACTGAATTTTGAATAAATAAAAAATACCCTTACCGAGCTTACATGCTAGTGGGGGAGATGAATGAGGAAACTATGTAGTATGTTAGTGGTAAGTGCTAAGAGAGAAAAAAGAGCACCAGAGTTGGATTGGAGATGTGCATGTATGTATGGAGAGTGGATCACAGTATTAGATGGATGTCCAGGTGCACAGGTGATATTTGAGTAAATAAAGGAAGTGAGGAAGGAAACCATGAGGATATTTTGTGGAAAAGCAAGGACAAAGGCTCAGAGATGGGAGCATGGCAAGGAGGTGCCTGAGAAGGAACGAGATAAAAAATAGTAATAGAGGATGAGGTCAGAAAAGTTAGGTAGGGAGCAGGGGAGACTATGTGAGGCTCTGTAGGTGATTTAAAGAAGTTTGTCTTTTACTCTGAATTATGGAGTCATTGAAGGGTTTTGTGCAGAAGAGAACATGCTCTAAATTATAATGGGATCATTTTGGATGCTGAATTGAAAATACACTAAAAGCAGGTGCCTGGGTGGCTCAATTGGTTAAGCGACTGCCTTCAGCTCAGGTCATGATCCCGGAGTCCTGGGATCGAGTCCCGCATCGGGCTCCCTGCTTGGAAGGGAGTCTGCTTCTCCCTCTCACCCTACCCCCTCTTGTGCTCTCTCTCTCTCAAATAAATAAAATAAAAAATCTTACTTAAAAAAAAGAAAATACACTAAAAGCAACAAGAGCAGGGGTGCCTGGATGGCTCAGTTAGTTAAGCATCTGAGGTTTTTTTTTAAGATTGATTGATTGATTTTAGAGCAAGAGCATGTGGGGTGGGGAGGGGCAGAGGGAGAGGAAGAGAGAGAATCTCAAGCATACTTTCCGTTGAGTGTGGCACCCAAGGCAGGGCAGGGCTTGCTCTCATAACCCTGAGATCATCACCTGAGCCCAAATCAAGAGTCAGAAGTTTAACGAACTAAGCCACTCAGAGTCTGACTCTTGATTTGGGCTCAGGTCATGATCTCAGGGTTGTGAGATCAAGCCCTGCATCAGGCTTCTTACTCAGTGTGGAGTTTACTTGAGATTCTCTCCTCCATCTGCCCCTCCCCCCACGTGCTTACTCGCTCTCTCAAATAAATAAATAAAATCTTTTAAAAAATAAAAGGAACAAGAACAAAGCAGAAAGACAAGTTTGAAGGTTATTACAGTAATGTTGACAGGATAAGGATGGCTTGAATGAGAGTGATAGCAATGGAGATAGTGAGGAATTTTCATATTCTAGCTAAAATATGAAAGTGGAAGTGATGATTAGCTTGGAGATCAGAAACGGTGTGAGAAATGAGAAAACCAGAAGTTTTCTGTCCTGAGTGTAATGGGAAGGACAGAGTTGCTGATGGAGAAGACAAAGTAGTTACAACAGCAGGTTGGTGGAAATACCAGGAGCTCTGTTTGAGCATGTTAAAATTTGAGATGGCTATTAAATGCCCAGGTGGAGATGTCAAGTAGGCAGATGGATATGTGAGTATGGAGTTCAGGGAAGAAGTCCAGGTAGGAAATAGAGATTAGAATGTTATCAACACATGGATGGTATCTAAAACTAAGAGGCAAGATCTTCAAGGTAGGGAATGTTGATAGAAAAGAGGAGAGGTCTGAGGAATGAGCCCTGAGGTTCTACAGTGTTTAGAGGTTGAGATGAAGAGGAGCCACTAGGAAAGTAGGGGGAAACCAGGTCAGAGAGGCATCCTTAAGAGAGTGATCAGTTGTGCCAGTTGCTGCGAATAAGTCAAGTAAGATGTGGCCTGAGAATTCACCATTGGATTTGATAACATGGAAATTATCAGTGACCACAGTAATGTAAGTTTTAGTGGTACGGTGGGAGCAAAAGCAAATTTGGAGTATATTCAAGGAAAAGTTGGAGGAGATGGGGAGAAAAACGAGATACTGTGAATATAATTAGGTCTTTAAAGGAATTTTCCCCCAAAAAAGGAATTTTTCAGAAAACAGAATGAAATTGATAGGGGAGTCCCTTAGAGAGGCAATTGTTCCATAAAAATGGAAATGTTATCTAGTAAGGGTAATGATAGAGGTATGTGCCAGGTTCTGTGGAAACCAGAAAAAGTTCCACTTGAAATGATAATTCTATTCTAGAGCAAAAGAATCAGGAAAAAGTTCACGAAGTCACATTTAGGTTGAATCTTAAAATATGAGTATTCTGGTCTCCAGAGAACTTCCTATTCTGGTCTTCAGAGAACATTCAGAATGAATCCTTTCATTGAAAACAATAATGGAAAATGGACAAAATACATAAAATGACATAAGGCATTGAAGAGCTAATTTCCTTGCTTTTTTTTCTGGGGGTATATCTAATTCTGTGCAAAGGGTAATAGAACCTAAGCAGAAAGTAGCAGTCTCACTGGGGACATCAGAGTTTGGAACTTGAAGAGCAAAATCCCAGAAAGAAGAGAACTATAAAGAAGTGACCCCCAAATTATCATTTTTATTACACTCCAGTGATTGGCTGATGACTAAACCATGCATGTGTAGGGACAGACTCCAAGAAACCCAGCAGGCAAGAGCAGACCAGAGGCTAAAAGCTGAGCAGGATTTTCAGCAGCTTCATAGTGCTAGGGAAATAGAGGTTAGAATTCAAGCCCTCCCAAGCTGAATGGGTCTCAGAAAACACCCTAGGCTTTCCATTAATATCTCATAGAAGGGACAGACCCTAGGAGTCAGGACCATGCTTGCCTTAGCCTGTTCAGAATGCT